TATTAAAAACCAAGAGAGAAAGATGTGGAAAGAGTGAAAAGTAAAGTTCCTTGAGAGTGATGAAAAGTTGCCGAAAGGAGCTCGAATGTACTAATATTCACTAAAAGGTATACGGAAAGGCGAGCTCTGATACTTATGTGAGGCGTTAATGATTATTTTCACTCTCACGTGATTAAAATCTATAAAATATATGGAACTTTTTTGGAGATGGGAATTTCAGTAAGGTATATGTTCGATCATCTTAACGGTGACAAATATAATGCTTTCCTTGATCGAACACTTTCCCTATTGTGAAACTTTGAATTGTTTTCACTTTATAATCTCATCTCATTATGGTAATTTCACTATTATTATCATCGACGAATACTCATCATTTGATGGTTAATTTCATTATTATTCTTGTATTCAGGCCTACATTTTTGTTTTGAAATTTGAATTTTGAAATTCTCAAGAAATTCAACTCAAGGAGTGCAAAATCCGTATACAACAATGTTGTATGCATAGCCAGTTTATTAACTTGAATATTTTTAACAAAGTGTGCAATATACATAATAAAGTGAGTGTACAATGTGCGTGCTTCTTCAACTCAGAAAATTGTTTCTGTTTGATCAAGGGAGTTATTTGCTGTTACCACTTTGTTGGCTCCCAATTTTGGTTTTTGGGCTGGCTGGCCCCTTTCTAGTGGACTGTATACTATTGAATAATGCGACGTAGTTAATTAGGTAACAAACTTTATTCTGTCACACCTAGTTTACAGATTTCACAGAATGTCGAATACGACAACTGGTTTGATCTGTTTAATTTGATGTGAGAAACAGTAAGCTTATACAAATGAGAACCTTTGATATTATCCACAATAAACTAACACTTTGTACTCAACTACAAATACATCTAATAGACCTTTCTTCTGTTATGCTGAAACCATACTGTACTGAACGAGATTACTCTCAAGCGAGAGATAAAGAAAACGATACTACTACAGTAGTAGCGTATTTTCAATCATGGAGAACTTTGCCGATTTCACCTTGGAATGGAATATTATGGAATCCTCGGAAATAGTCGGGAACGTTTGGAACATCCAGAAAAATGCCAGATACTACTAGGGGGTAGTGGAGGCGAGGTGTCCATGATATGGACACCCCATGACAATGCTTACTACTGAATGGTTCGCATCTTTGCTAGGTTGTTCTGATTGATCCACGTGTCTGATAAATGTGCTGCTGATGATATATCGATCGAAGATGCATTCTATTTCACTTTTGGTCTTGTCAAGTACCATGTTTTGCTATCTCATATATCTTCGTCTCTACTTCTGAAATTATTGGAATGGTTATAGATCTCAGTTTCTTTCCATTCTCATGGACACCTCACCTCCACCACATTTGACTAGTATAAAATATGAATAAATACAGAGCTTTCCAGTCAGTCATTGCTGAGACTGCGGAAATCTACGTTCGTCCTCAAAGTCAACACATACATCACAGAAGACATCTGCTCTAGTAGAGACGAAACGTTTGGTACTACAAGTTCTTCTCAGTATTCATTCCTGAGATTAGTTCTCAAATTGCAGTATAACTCGCAGTGAAGAGCTAAGGAGAGATAAAGTGTCATCTTTTCGTTACAATTATTTATTTTGTCATCCTACACTATATACCCACTTTCAAAGTTTCTCAATAATTTTGGGAAAGTTCAACAGGGTCCTATGCTTGAAATTATCTTTACCGAACTGAATAATTTAGAAAATGTGAAATTAGGTTCTGTGAAACTTTGGATATCAGGAACTCACAAAGTAATTTAAAACTGATACATTTTTCGAAAAAATATTACAATAGAATAGAAATGTTTTCTCCAATGAACAGTCCGACAATGAAAACTAATCAGGTTTAAGATTTTCAGTTTGCAATAATTATTTCACTCGATTGGCCATTTGGGAATTTTCATCAATACTGAATTCACACAAAATCGAAGAAAATCAAAGTCAATAGATGAGTTTTGCACTACATATATTAAAAATGAGATGCCAACTCTTGCCAATTGAAAAATATTTTTCCGACATCGTGGAAAAACGCAATTGGGAGAGTAGGTACTACCAAATAAAACTAAGTAGTTGACGATCTGAAAGTGATCCTTTATGAAACATTTTAGAAAAAGCAATGACGTTTCAGATAATATCTTGAAAAATGTTCAATATTGCCTATTATTCAGTCAGGTTCATCGTAAGGGATATAACTGCAATTTCATGAACTACACCTCCCGATTTGATCTCCACAAACTTTATTTGAAAAATATATATCACAACATGTTTCGCTAACACAGTAGCTTTATCAATTGATTTGAATACTTCAAGTTGCTTCTTACACTAATATTCATATACTCCAGGTAACCATAATTGAGACTACCTCCAACAAATTACCTAAACCTCTACCTGAGGTACCTCTTCAATTATGATCAGCTGAAGCAGATTACCTCACTTCTACATCAATAATAATCCTTTCTTTGTTTTTCTAAGAAAACAAGTTCAATAATGGTGATCTATTCAAATTCAGTTGGTCATTCATTAGAATGTTTGAATTTTTGAGTTTATTAATTTCCATTGCTTCCAAATGATTCAGTTTCAAATGTTCCACACTATAATTTTTATATTCCTGATTTCTCGAATTTGGAAGTTTTGTCTTTATTATTTTAAACTAACTTTTTCAACGTATTACTTGTTCTATATGCAATTTTAATATCTCGTTTCCACAAAAATTGAGCCACTTTTTCCGTTATTTGTCCAAAATACGTTAAAGTTCTATAATTTCGATTATCTACCTTAACAATAGAAAAAACGTCTCGAATCGCTTTTGCGTAGACTTTCTTAGGAATAAGTATTTTGTTCATTAATTCGGCTTTTAACCCATCGTTAACAGCAATTTGCTTGATGAAATTAGGTTCTTTATTGAAATTATCTATTTGAAGAGGAGCATTGACTAATCTGACTTTGTGTTGCTTATAATAGCATGATTCACTATCTATGATTATTATATAAATCCTACCAGTTAACCCAAAACTCGCGAGCCATTTGGGCCGCGACAATATTGTTGGTTCCTTTGGCCATATTTTTTTATATTTTCTAAATATCAAAATATCTTGACAATAGGCGATCTCATTATAGTCAGCATCCAATTTTATTATCGTTCAGTGTGTCAACTATGTCTATCGTTGAAGATATCCCACAAGAAAATAAAATTTTTGTAACTTATTGATGACATTAATATTTTCAGACAATTTGATATTCAAACCTGAGTTATTCAAGTATTCATAAAATCAAAACTTACTCATTCAATAGCAGTCCATGAATGCAGTTGCAATGAGCATTTTCGCTGCATGAAAATTTAATTACCGAAGCGTACTTGTATACTGTAAGGAAAACTTAGGTGTTAACATACAGTTGTGAATTTTCAAGGAATACATGAAGTTAATGTTTATCTTTAAGATACCAATAATAGTTATCTTTACTTTTTTTACGCATCTATGAGATGGAATTGTTTGACGTTACCCTGATGACGAGAAATAAGAGGAAATACATGTATTATTATACATGGCTAAATCTATTATGGTAGTGGCTACACATATTCATGGAAAGACAAGAAGCTCTCATTGAAGAAAGTTTATGGTGAAAATCATTAAACTGAACGTCACTTCTGAAATTGGTTCATACCAAATCATGACAGACATGTATGAGAGCACAAAAAGTTCACCTTATTTATTTTGATATTATTCGAAACTGAAGAGCCTGAAACGGACAATTTCAGTTTTTGCGAATATCTCAAAAATAATTTCATTGTCCTTCTGAATATGCAACTTTCATATATTCCAACTAACATTGCAACTCTTTTTGTTTTCGAGGTTGCGATAATGGGATCGGCTAATAGAAGCATGTATAAAGAGAGTACCATAAAGGTCCCAGAATAAAATCATGAACCACTAGCAAATCTATCAGGCCACCCACCCTATATAGTTAATGATATCAAATGATACTCACTACATGGTCCATCATAGAGTACGGTAATATCTCTCCTATGCTTGCAGGCCTCCAATCTTAGCTTACACTCATTGCCATAGGAAATTCCGTCAGAACCACAGACCGGTTCAAATTCAGCAGGACAAACGGGACATTCGCAATGCGCTGTTCCGGATCTTTCCACACAGGTAGCTCCATATTGACATTCATGATCACTGCAAGGGCCCTTCTCGCCACATATTCCTGCATAGGCGATTTCAATTGTTGTACGGGCGACACACCCTGCTCGTTTCAATTCGCATTCAGAAGGGAATGTTCGCCCGTCTTTCGAACAAACTGGTCTCATAATCGGTTCGCAACTTGGTGGGCATTGGCAATGAGCTATACCGAATTTATTTATAGCACATTCTTCCCCCAGGGTGCAGCGGACACTCATACAAGGGTTGATACCTGAAATAAAATACTTGTCATGAGAACGGATGAAATGTAACTGATGTTGCGAATGAGGGTCGGAATTAAGTCTGCAATGTGTTTGAAAAAAAAGGTGTTGATGATGACTCTCGATTTGTTTAAACGATCAACACAAACTGGTAATACTCGTAATAACTAACTTTTTACTGGAAATGAATGTGATTGTTCAAGATAATATTATCTTCGCAGTTATGATGGAGTACTAGTTAGCTGGTGCGGCGATAACTACAAGTTAGGACTTACATAATATTGTGAGTTCATTTCATTTCAGTTTTTGAAATTCGTTGCTTTCATGTTTTTTTTTAATTATTTATTCGACGAAAAAATATTTGAAATGTTCTTTAGATAGAAAAAAAAACGATATTTTTGGTTACACTGAAAATACGTTAAACTATTGAGCTTACTGTACTAAAAAATATGTCACCCAATCCAACATAATAGAAAAATATAACAATACCGACAACTCCAAATAGAAATTAATAGTGTCCAATTCAATACAATTTTGCCTAGCTTTCAAGCTGTTCGCAGATCTGTTGAGAACATTACAGGAGATACTTGTGATGCACTGTTTGAAACCTTTGGTGTAGTAATGGATATTACTGGAGTTCAATCCCAATACCAAACAAATTTTTAACGCTTCGACACGTGTTTCAATCATCAAGTGATCATCTTCCTTTTGAAGATGATCTCTTGGTGATCGAAACGCGTGTCCAGGTGATGAAATACCAGTTTGGTGTTGGGAAAAAACTCCAGTAATATTCATTACAGGAGATATCGAATATGCAACGGTCTGAATTGAAGGGGTTATATTTTTAGGAGTGATTAATTTTTTGGGAAAGAAAGTTTTTGGCTTTCTACTACTCCATCTGATACAAAAAAAAAGGATGAGAGAATCTTCCAAAGAAAGGAAGGAATAGATGGAGTAGTAGAAAGCCAAAAACTTTCTTTCCAAAAAAATGCAACGGTCCTTATCATTCCATCATCAGCCGCATCATCAACCAGCCCGCAATTTTATTTTCAGCAAACCTTCTCATTTAATAACCACATTGAAGAAGTCTATGGAAATAGCTATTCCGCCATTTTGGACAGCTGACATATTGGATATAGAGTGATGTCATTTTATTTTTCTCATTATTTTCATCAAACTTTTTCATTTGATACCCATGTGATAGAAGTGTACAAGAATCGACTAGTGTACAAAAATCAACGACTAGTCGATTTTTGATCGGTTCATCATATTGTCTTTAGAATGTCTTCATGTTATATATCTTATAATTTACAGCAAATACTTCCTTCTGATGACCATATCATGAAAGTGGATACAAAATAACTTGCCGCCATTTTGGGCGGTTCAACATATCTGCTTTGGAATGACGCCATTTTATTTTTCGTATTCTCTTCAGCAAACCTTCTCACTAGATACTCATACGACATTTCGAGCGTATGGGTATTGTTTGTTTTTTATGCACCCCAGCTACCCAACAAACATTTTGGTGGAAAATGAATGCAAGTTTACCACTTTATGGTTAGTATAGACGTCAGAAAGAGCTATTGTATAGCGAAATATGTGTTGCGTTTTTGTCAAACTGTTTAGTGAAAATATCACAATGAAGTGTTTCGTGAATACGTTATGGATTTCCTTCAGGTATTGGCCAATTCCATCACATATCAAATATCTGATGAAGATCAGAAGTTGATCGGGATAAAATCGACCAATATTTAGATTAATTGTGATTTTGAGAGTGGACAAAACTAATTTCAATGCATTGTTTTTCAGAATGTCGTAATACCCACTCACACGCAGTTCACATATTTCTGTCAAATGATAAGATCAAAAATCGAAAAATAACACCTGATTCGATAACACTCAGTTTATTACTACAGAAAAAAATTTTCAGTAGAGCGTTCATCTGGTACACTGATTATGTGGTGAGCTTCACAGATTATTAAACCAAATCACATACTATACAATTTTCATTTGCACATCAACATTGAAAATGAAATGAAAGGAATACGTTTTCCAAAAGATGTTTCATCACTACACGCAGTTGTGGTTCTTGGAAAAAAAACCTTCGGAAGAAATCAGATAAAACTACTTTCACAATCAAGAGCTGTACTGTAGTTGTGATTTTTTTTGTTTGTTCACCGTTGTTCGTTTCCAATAATCTCCAAATTTGGCATCTGGTTGATATCTTCAGGAGTACAGAGTGTCTCTGAATTCCTGAAGATGTTGAATCACTCCTATTGGCAAAATTCACAGAAACTCATTCAAAGCGAACGATAACCAACAACTTGAAAAACAGCAAATGCCATGGAACTCAAGTGAATTTATCAACGATATGTGAACTGAAGTCTGCCAAAAACCTGGGACTAAGAAATTTAACCAATTTTATTTATACAGCTTCAATTAATCATCGTAGGAGTCGAATAATGTGTCGCGAATAATGGGCGCGGTGGTAGTGCATCCGACTCACGATCGGAAGGCCGTGGGTGCGATTCCCGCCTCGACCGGATATTTTTCTCAAGAGAATTTATCTGGTTGAAGCTGGGATGATTCTGCAACCGTGTTAGGAATCACACGTTAAAAGGTAAGACCTCGTTAGTCCTTAGCTAGCACAAGTTTCTCAACTTCTGAGAGTTGTCGTTCGTATGGGGGCAACAGCTGATCAACGGAAAAACAGATTTCAAACAGTTTTTTTTAAAATAACACAAAGGATAGAGTTTCTCTTCAATAAATGAATAATTCCATAAAAAAACTGATGAAAACCATAAGAGACATGATACGTTTATTTTCTGTAAATGTATTCCTGAAAGTATTTTCGATATCAAATCCTTATAATGTATTCACGCAATTGAATATTAAGAAACCTCTTGAAGTTGAAGCGCTTTCGCCAAAACTGCAGCTATTCGGAATACCTTCATCAAATTATCTAAATAAGTTTTTAAACGTATTCTTATTCTTGTGTCACTTAGAAATCTGGAAACATTTGTAATAGTAAGATTTCTGCCAATCAAATAGGATGCATCGAGACAGGATCAAACTACAAAGAATGAGGTTTTTCTTCTTGAGTGAATTGATATATTCTCCAAAAAATTGGAATGATTCAACATATTAACCGATCGGCAATATGTTTTCCACAGGCCAAAAATCAGCAGGTGCCATCCTTCTAAATATAACCAGGACGATCAAGACGATAAATACATTTGTCCACACATAATAATGTCAGGTTTACAACTCTGCTGGTTACCAATATGTCTTGGCACAGTGACATTACTAGAATTTTACTTCGAACTAGAAAGTTGTCTACCTCTCAGACATCATCAATCCATCATAAAGCTCAAATCTGACCTTCTTTGGAATAATTCTCGCAAGCATAGAGAGCTCCGCCTTCATGCATAAACTGAGGCTGTTCCATTTTGTCACGATTGAAGCAATTCATCTTATCAGAGACCCATATACGATAATAATGATGCAAACAAATTTTTGCTCTTCCATCTAACCTCCTAATAGTACCTAGGAATGGATGAGCTAATTCTAAGATACTGTCTATTAGAGTACACAATGTAACATCTGAGGAGTAAGAATATGTAGGAAATCGTATCATTAAACGAACAAAACAAGAAATTTCAAAGTTAAAAAGTATCCAATCTCACTGCGGTTGCCTCAAACTAATATGCAGCGAGATATTTTTTGGAGGCGAAAAAAAGGGGACACATTTGATTTTTGCTGGCAGAAAGTTACAACCATTCATAACATCGTATGAAAATAACTTTTTGAACATCATACATGTCTCTATATCAGGTATTCTTTTTATATATGTCAGATTTTTTTTGATAATTTAGTTGTCGAGTAAAAGAAATATTAGATATCCAATTTTATAGATGGAATATGCGGGTTGTATTGTAAATCTACTCTTGAGTATCAACTATTTGGATTTCTCAAAGGATTCACTGATATGATCGAATTTTCAGAAGAATCTGATGCAGAAGCAGAAGCTTTGAACCTTTTGCCAACTTAGCTTATTTTTTCCAATTGAAACAGGCCAACAGATGATATTTCAATAAGCCAAGCTTGGATCGTACAATCCGAGTTTCAAATTACTGTTCAAAATATTTTTATGCATTCACAATTTTGTATTGGAGTCAGGAATCGAATTTTTTCCAAGCATTATCCGAATGAACACCCAAATTTTCACATTTACTTGATATTTCTAGTATACTTTCATAGTTTCTGTATTTTTCATCAAATGAAGCCTCGAGAGTCCTGGAAAATACCTACAACTTTCCTATGGCGTCCTTGTTTGAAAAATCTGATTAAAATCTGTTTTTCCGTTAACCAGCTGCCTCCCCCCTACGAACGACAACTCTGAAAAGTCGAAACTTGTGCGAGCTAAGAACTAACGAGGTCTTACCTTTTAACGTGTGATTCCTAACATGAGATGGATGATAGGAAGTGAAAATCGATCGTTCAGCCTGTGGCTTGAACCAGCGATTCACACAGCGGTCGATTGAGTGAGTGAAGCAAAGCACCGACGTCAACCCAACCGGCTACTGTCGCACTAGAATGAACTTCCAGATATCATCTTGAAAGAAGACGTAAAACATCCAACCTACCATCAAATGAATGGATTAGGTTGATAATAATATACGAGGAACAATAATCACTCAATATTTTTTATATTCCACATTTGACATGGTCTGCAGACTGATCATTATCGATGAGTGCGTGTTTGTGAAATAATCTCAATTGAGGAAATGACAATTACTTGTGTTATACAATATTCCATCATCAAAGGGGTTCACCAGTCAGGCATGGGTTTCTGTTTTCGCCATCGACGGGAAAGTGGAGAGTCCATTTTGTATGTTTTCTCGTGAACAGTATTGTGTGAATGTCTGCAGTCTGAAGCAGTTGTATGGCAATCTTATGTATGTATTGTTGTTCGCCATGATGCGATCAATATCGCACACGTGCATTAAAATAGTTTGAGGCCTTTGACGTATCACTTGGATAAGTGAGAAATTCTGAGTTTTACAGACAGGGTGTTGATCGGATGACCAATAAGTGATAACTTGCTTGAGATAGCAGATACATAATCAAATAAGGAAGCAAGCAAATCAGACAATCTATGAAAGAAGATGCTTGTTACGATATTCACCTCTCTCGATATGAGGAGTTATTCGATTTTAAAAGTCGACACAAACAAGTGTTCCTCACTTCCATAGGGTCTTCCAATAGGGACTTTGGAGCTTTGACGATTGATAACGGCCATCTTGTTGGAGCTACATCTGTCAAATTAGTTATCATTCATTCAGCGTTATGAACGGATATAGCAATCAACAACACGTGAAAATAATGAAATTGTTTTATCAAAATGGGGCAACGTACCACCCATTTTACGGTTGCCATAATCGTCCTACCGACAGGACTATTCGCAATGTGGTGGATTCAGTAAATGGTTCAGTAAATGATCGACCAACAACCCTACGTCGACGAAACGCAAGATCTACCGACTACCGAAAACACCACACTCGGCATGTCACAACTTGACAAATTTTGCATCATGACTTGCGCCTGTACCCGTACAAAATTCAACTAACCCAGGGACTGGCCATAGACAACGACGTGCGTTCGCTGAATGGGCTCTGGAGCAGTTGGCAACTGACCGTAACTTTCATCGAAAAATCATTTTCAGCGATGAGACCCATTTTTGGATGGATGGGTACGTGAACAAATAAAATTGTCGAATTTGGAACGATAACATTCTACATGATATCCAAGAGCGTCCAATGCATCCTGAAAAAGTCACTGTTTGTTGTTGATTTTGGGCTGACAGAGTCATCGGTCAATATTTTTTTGAGAACGACGTTGGCGGTCATCACTGTCAACGGTGAGTACTATAGGTCGATGATTACCATCTTCTTTTGGCCTGAATTGGATGATTTGGACACTAACGGAATGTGGTTTCAACAAGACGGCGGCGCTACGTGCCACACAGCCCATGCCAAATTGGATATTCTGCACGAGCGATTTGAGATCATGGTCATCTCACGCGGGGGTCATGTGAACTGGCCACCGAGGTCGTTCGCAGGTATATGTGAATGATTCACAAACCACAACGGTTCTCAAAGCCAACATAACCCATGGCATTGGTCACATTCAGCATGATTTATGTGCCAGAGTCATGGAAAACTGGACGTTTCGGATGCGCACCACACATAATGGTATCAAGGTCTTTCAAACGAATACATTTTTTTGATAATGTCAAATATACTTTGTTTTGTTTGAATTTGAAGACAAAAAGCGCTCAATGAAAAACCCTATACATCCCTCTTAATCAGAATTTTCCAGTTCTCTAGCGACTTAGCATACTCTGAAGTTCCAGACTGAATAGAAGAAGAGAGCATTCTTATTTCATTTCCATTTCTTCGTCTTGTTTTGAATAATATTTGTTCACCACGGAAATTCATAATTCAGTTCAATAGTAGTGGACCAACTTCCAAAACTCATCATAATATTATGTGTCTAGAAGCAGCTCGAAGTAACACCAGTCGTACCGAAGATACTGATACAGTTCTATTGAAGCCTAGTCACACTAAAGCTTGAAGAAATTCACATATGATGAACGTTCTTGGAATATGTGAACGCTAGAAAGCGTCTTGTATTTTAAGCTTTGGCACTTATCAGCGAAGTGACGATTCTATTTTATCGTGTTAACGATCCATAAGAATGTTTCATTGACTTAAAAACTTGTGCGTTCAGTTATTGAGCATCTGAAGCTCATACATGAGAAGATAAACAGCAATAATAAAGGTCCAAATGGCTATTGGACTCCCTTTAAACAGACCAGGGTTTCCCTGGGTTGATTGTTACCTCAGTTCATTGAGTTCATGCTGAAGCATTTTGAAAATAACGTCAACCTTTTTCAGGAATGAATTTTGTGAGCTGATTTCATTCTTTGAATGATTATATACATAATTTACAGTTTTCAGGACAGCCCTAAATTTTTGAAATTTTAATGAAATGACTGTCCGTGTTGATATCTTTCTGAAAATACCATCTTTCATTTTATTGAGTTTACTAACAATCATGGGTAATGATATATACTAATATATAATTTGTTGTATTGCCAGAAAAAGGTATTCATTCGATATCAAGGGTGAAAAGCGGATAGAGGGTCAGCTATTTAGTGAACCATTCAAAATCATTTCACTTTCAATATTGATTCTTAATATTCTTATTGGGGATTTCATATGAAACATAGGGTATGATCCAAACTCATGTTAACTTGAGTTCATCGTGTTTTCCGTTTTGCACCTCCATCCTCTTCATTTTTGTTTTTTTTTGAATACTTGCTCTTATGAGTAGGTATACGAAATCTGCCATACAGTTATTGAAGTAAGTTTTGTAAGCTGATATCTTGGAGAAATCCAAATTTCTCTGAGAAATACGCGAACAGAAATATGAATAGGATGAAAATACTTGCTCTTGTGAGTAGGTATACGAAATCTGCGATACAGTTATTGAAGTAATTTTTGTAAGCTGATATCTTACAAAAATCGAAATATCTCTGAGAAATACGTGAACAGAAACATGAATAGGGCGAAAGTTATATAACCTGAACTACATTTTCCTCGGTAAATGATATTGAGGGTTTTTCTGGCCCGGCAGGCCTCTTGTCGTAAAGTACATTCATTAGAATACGTTTTTCCATCAGAGCCGCAAACCGGAGTGAATTCCAGAGGACAGGTATCTCCACACCGGCAGACGGGATTTCGATGTTCATCCAACTGACACACTTCTGGTTCCGCACATTGTACTCCGGTGCATGGATCTGAAACAAGTGATTGATGTTAGTCTAAACTGATATTAAAAAAATGAAAAATGTTTTTGTCTGTTTGTTTGTAATGGATAAACTGAAAAACTATTTGATTGATTTCAAAATTTATTTCACCTATAGAAAGTTGCTACATCATCTAATATCTGATATCATAGAATGGTAAAGGCAAGGGTGGGCTAATTCAGACTGGAAAATTCACCGAATTGCAATGAACCGGGCAAAACAGATAGTGTGGAATATGGTATAAAAACAACTTCAAACAAATTCTCGGACCAAATGACACCAAAATACATGTTCGACACAAACCTGGCAGTTGAAATTTCAAACCGCGAAAAGTGAAGAATGAACAGTTATCCCAAGAACAATCTCAACATGAACACCAGATATTCAGACGGTTCGAAAACCGAACATGAAGCTGGAGGTCAAATTTAGTGTGTAGGGAAAAATATTCATTTCATGAAAAATGAGAAATAAAACTTTCTATGTTTTTTATCACTTTCATCTGTAACCAATGTTGTTACTGCAGTTTCGAACTATAAGGATATTTTCAAACAATTACAATAAACTTTCAAACATGTTACAAAAAGGCCTTATAGGACGAAACTGCAGTAACAACATTAGTTACAGATGAAAATTGTAAAAAAAAACATAAAAATTTTATTTTCAATCATCAATCAATTTGTAATCATTTTAGTTGCCCACTAGATCACTATCCATCAGTCTTCTATACAGAAGTGTTTGCATTCTCACAATGCGCAAATAACACCATTTCAAGGCGTCAACGGATAATAATAATGATAATGAGGATTTATTCGTCCCAAGGATCATGCATATGATATCAGACTAGTCACTGCAGAAAATCATGAAAAACATAATTTCCAAATAGTACAACACTGTACTGTACTGATGAAAAGTACAAATATAAAAAAGTATATAGAGTTTTTCAGGGATTTCAAATCATTTTATATAGTAGACAATGGAAGTCCGAACTAATGAAATTCATCATGAAACATTGTCAATCACCTTCAAACAAAATATATCCCCTTTTGGGAACTTTCCAAGGTTATGATATCCGTTACTCGTTAGTAGTTCTCTTATTTTTCTGTCTTTCGAATGATAGTATCTGTGAGTCTGAGATGTCTTGTGATATGATGCCTTGATAATAATGATAATATTGTAGAATTGGCCGTGGTGGTAGTGCGCCCGACTCACGATCGGAAGACCGTGGGTTCGATTCCTGCCTCGACCAGATATTTTTCTCGAGAGAATTTATCTGGTTGAAGCTGAGATGATTCTGCAACCGTGTTACGAATCATATGTTAAAAGGTAAGACCTCGTTAGTCCCTAGCTCGCACAAGTTTCTGAACTTCTGAGAGTTGTCGTTCGTATGGGGGCGACAGCTGATTAACGGAAAAACAGATTTTAAACTGATTTCAAACAGATTTAAACAGAATAGGAACAAAGTAGATGCTGTGAATATGCTTGCCGTTCCAATCTTACTCTGCTCGTTTGGATAGTGGAATGGATCCAAGAGAAACTGTATTGACACGACATATAGACCCCAAAAAGAATGCATCTCCATAGGAGTTTCCATCCCAAATCGTCCATTCCCTCTCTACTGTCGAATTCCAAGAGCATGCCGTCTTGGTGCACGAAGGCAGGAATTTTGTCCGGACAAATGTAGAAGGCTGTCATTCTTTGCTCACTGCGCTTACTCAGGGCACACGCATCTCGCTCCCAAAAATGTCGGCAGTGGTTGTTGGTTGATAATGCTGGTGCGTCTTCCTAAATGTGTCGAAGCTTCGAGAAAAGGGAATGACCAGCTTACGCTTTGGGAATGATAAAAATGATAAAAAAACAACTATACATGCTGATTTGCTGTCCAGCGGTTTCAGTCTATATCCACCCTTCATGACGCGGCCCTGAAAGTGCTTCATTGACTTCCATGGCATTTTTTCAGTATTGAGGAGATTTTGGTGATGCCCTACGCTCCGGGGGATATGGAATTCGTTGTGGGAAATGAGAAGTGCCAAAATTTATTGAAACTATTCGTTCGCCACCCTCCAAGCTCATACAAACTAATAACACTGATATAGTTATTCTCGACTATCAGATCAAGAAGATATTTGTCATGGGGTTGTCAGCTCTTGGCGAGACGAATATCGTCCGAGTAGAGGAGGAAAAACGGATGATATATCGAGATTTTTTCTCCGAACTCCGTACACTCTATCCAGCTTACTCTGTCAAGATGATTGTTCTGATTATTGAAGTCCTTGGTGGAATGATGCCCTCTCTACTCTTTAATCTCAAAATCATGCCGGCTTGCCGCACTAAAACTGAAATCTCAGCCAGAATAATGCAGAAGGCTCTTATTCTAGACTCATAACACTTGCTTAGGACACATGACTCTCAGACCCAATTATCACTGAGCCCACGGTGTGGAGAGTGGCCGTTGGTTGATAATGCTGGCGCGCCCTCCTGAATGTATCGGAGCTTCGGGATATAGGGCTGACTAGCGCAAACTTAGGTGGAAAAATTAATCATTATTATAATAAAAATCATGATTATAATAAAGTGTTATTTGCCAGCCTGTCCATTCACAAATGATATATACAAGATTTAGGTACACTTGTACAACACCAAACCGCAATTATTAACATTTCGAAAGATTGAACTTTTTCTTGAAGATAATCACTTGGTGATTGTTACACTCTCCAGTAATATTATATGCATTAGGGTTGATATCCATATTCAGCTCAATATTAATTTTCATAGGGTGGCTGAGGTTCCGGATGAAATTTGAATGAACAAGATAGGACATAACTAGAGAAAATAACACAAGAACTGAATTGAAACTAAACCATCAAAAGGTATGACGTGATACATATAAATTTCTGAAATTATCGATGATATTATTGCAAATGGGACAAGTACGGTCCTGAATATCCTATTTATTATTATTATTGCAATGATTCTGAAAAGCGTATAATTTTAGATATCTTTTAAAAAATATTTGGCAACTGAATAATGCACGATGAAAAATTATGTATGGAATGCAACCACTTGTACGTAACGTTTCCTTGTATCTAATGCGAACTATTGATGATTGAAAAATTGTTTATCTATTCTGGTGAAATGTTTCGTCATTATTTTTTCAATTTTATAATCATTTGAAACTTTGCAGAACGTTTAATCGAGAGATTGCTGGTCGTTCGGTGAACTAAGAAGTCTTTCCGGCAAAATTAGAATGAGCGAGTTGAAAAAAATGTGAAATCACTCTGGAATCCCTCAAAAAGTCTTTGATGTGAACTTTTTGATCAGTCCAACTCTCACTTGATTTCCATTCGATCGTCGAGCTGAATTTCATTTATATTTTCATCTCTTCTGATAGAATTTTAATTTTCATCCCACTGTTTCTAATTCACTTCAAATATGGAATAAAACCTCTATTTCGGAATATATTATTTCAGTATTTCGTAATTGAACCAAATTGGCTCCAGTAGTTAATAAATTTGACTATATTCAACATTACGGTATAACGAAAATGAAAATTCATGAATGCTGTGAAATCAATTCAATTTAACGTATAAACAATAATTATTGGTACGAGTTCACAGCACACAATTAACAAGTTATAACTATTGAACACGTGTAACAAGTCTGTTGTGAATAAAGTTGATTCACAATGGATGATTATCGATTTTTAAAATGGAAAGGAAACAGAAAATATATTTGGTACTAGTTGTGGCCCACGGCTTCGCTCGCGTAGAACTAGGTTCGTCACATTGAGTTTCTTGACATACCATTTCAAACAAAGACTAACAATATTTTTTATCTACCCAAAACTTCAGTTTTCCAACTTCAAAATTGAAGAAATTCAATACAATCTTTGAACCCCTATTTTTCCCCTTTGGGTGGAAATTCCGATTCCCTTTCTTGATGCTTATTAACGCTATACAAAGAACCCGCCTGCATATTTCAAGATTCTAGGTTCAGTAGCTTCAGATGTGCGTTAATATAAGAGTGTCAGTCAATCAATATGTACCCACCTATACAATATTACCTGTTTTCCGCTGTTTTGACCGCATTACCGTGAAAACCTACCCTATGTGTTATTTCAGGTCATTATCTGTATATATACCAACTTACATTTGAATCCCATGAGCTGTTTAGGCGTGAAAAAGTAAAAAACGTAAAAACATACATTACATTTATCCATCCTCACGAACTTTACGCATTTATAATATCAGTAGGAGTAGTATTAGTAGGAATACCAAATGTATTTCATTCTAATTCTTCCAGTTTTTTTTGCTGATGCTATTCAATATTGTATAAGTGGGTACCTATTGATTAACTGACAATCTTATATAAACGTACAGCCGAAGATACTCGACCTAGAATCTTAAAATATACAGGTAGGTTCTTAGTATACTGTAAATAAGCATCAAGAAATGGAATCAGGAATATCTACTCCCAAGAGGAAAAATAGGGGTTTGAAGATTGTAATGAATTTCGTCAGTTTTGAAGTTGGAAACCTGAAGTTTTGGGTTAATAAAAAAAGTATATGTTCAAAATGATCTGTCACGAAACTTAATGTGAAGCAAATTCTAAGCGGGCGAAGCCGCGGGAAATAACTAGTACATACATACATCCATCCTCACAAACTTTCACATTTATATAATTATAGATACATAGAGAAATTAGTTGTTCCCTTCAGTAAAATATGTTAGACGATATATCGAATTGATATTATAGAGTGATTATGTGAACACATCAGACTCTTAAGTAAAAAGATCAGTACTTGAAATAATTACAGCTTGTCAAATCTGGAAAAACATCTGAGAATGCGTATTCAGTAGGCAGGACTAAATTGAAATTCAGAAAATCTTCCTTCATTTGATATTTGCATTATTTATTTGGGTTTATCGGCATTTCGAAGCATATTATCTCATAAAATTTTGTCAATATCTCTACTGTTTATCCTTATGGAATTTGTATTGATTTTACTAGTAAACATCATTCAAAATCCAAAATTATATGTACCTACAAAAAGCCAAATATGCATATGCTCCTTTGTTTGCAAAACATACTTTTCGTTGATCCCTGTCGACTGCAAATCTGTTGGTTTTCTCATTGAGATTTGAAATGTAAATTGAGTATAAACGAGGCACGCATAAAAGGATGTGCTCAGTCCCAAACTGTCTTGCGATAGTATAAGTCCTCGTATGTGATGATTCAGATTACAGTGACCTGTAAGTAGCACTGTCAGATAACGTAGATCAGCTCTTCAAGTGAGTATTCCAGTTTTCCATCAAGAATTGAACCTAGATATTTCATCTCCACTGCGAAGCTGACCATTGAAGGGGGAAGGTTGATAATCCAGATTCCTCATCCTGGTGAATGGGACTTCCACAGTTTTGCTGTAATCCATAGGTGTTCGTTCGAAGTTCATTCAAATAAATATAAATGCTGTTATTCAGTATTAACAAGTAATCACTACAAAAAAGCACTGTTCCGAAACCAGAGGTTCCAGTTACAACTTTCCAAGAGGAAGTATGTCAATATATTTTCTAATAATACTAACTTGATAGCGAAAGACGTGTCAACAGAATTGATGTAGTTCTGGTGTATGCGAAAGGTACTTTGATTGAATTCACTCCACGCCATAGGTTTCAGTTTCACTTGAGTACAGGATTTATACAAATAAAAAATCTCTGTCTATCTGTTTTCCCGTTAATCAGCTGTCGCCCCCATACGAACGACACTTCTAAGAAGTTGAAAAGCTTGTGCGAGATAAGGACTAATGAGGTCTTACCTTTTAACGTGTGATTCCTAACAATATACATTTTATCAAGATACAGAAACATAATAGATCAATATAGAATCAAAATGAAAAAACTTACATATTTTTCAAATTCCGGCACTGCATATCACGTTTTTTGTTTTGAGTTTGAAAATGCACAATTCATAAAAAAATTGCTGTCCACTGTATGAACAATGGCACCCATATATGCTACCTATGCTACCTCTAACTTGATATGATATTTTGAAACTGAACGAATTGAAGTCGGGTTTGTTGAACATTTCGAAAGGAAAATCTCTCCTGGAAAATTGCAGTGCATCAAAGAAAATCCTGATGAAAACTGCATCGTCAAAGCATTCGCAATCTTGCCATTTGTATAAGGAAAGTTATTTTAGATATGAGGACTCTGCAATCCAAAATTGCAATTGTGAAAATTGTTCAACCATCATCATCGACAGAGAATATTTCTGTTGAAAATACTTCGCCTTTTGCAGGAAAATTATCATTTGTGACTGAACTGTAATGAAGGCCCTGTACAAAACACATTTTTTTGAAAGAAGAGAAATAAAACTTCCTATGTTTTTTCACCACTTTTATTCGTGTTACTGCAGTTTCGTCCTATGAAGACATTTTCGAACAAATACAGTAAAAAAATAAAGATGATGATCTCCTACCACGTACTAACTAACGGCTACATCCATCAATATACTCACATTTTTAAATAAATGGTATGAAACGATGGAAATTACCAAAACTTGATGAAAATTCATAACTCATACGAGTAACACTGTGTAAGGAGATTTCTACTGGACCGTTTACAAAATCGCAAGACGTGTTTCGCAATACAATTGCTTCCTCGAGCGTTTCCATGCAGTTTTGCTATACAATAGCTTCCTCAAAAGCAATTTTATACCATTAGGAAGCTATTATACAGCAAAACACGTGTTGCAGTTTCGTAAACTGTCCACTGACAATCTCACAATAAAGTGTTACTTCAATTTATTCGCCTGCTACTCTTCATTTCCACAGACAACCCCCATTACCAAAAAATGGGAACATATAAAAGAAAAGTAAAAGAAACATATTTTCATAACTATTTTTGAAAATGTTATTTTCAAAAAAAAGTATTCACATCACATTGCTGTAGAATACTTCTTCCAGTTGTGAGTTCAAATGCTTCTGATTTCTTTTTGGGTTTTCACCTCTCTACAATCTGAGAAATCAATAATTCTAGCTTCATAAAACACTATCCATTTATAGAGAATAGTTGAATGAATGAATAATTTTTCTAATGACTTTATTTAATTCGATAGGCGAAAGTTCATAATTAACGACAATTTATCGACTAATTAGGAATTCCACACCAAACAGTGACTTTTTGGTGTGAACTTTCCAGGTTGCACTCCACAACATTTCTCCATTGACTTAGATTTTTTAATTTTTCAGATTGTGGAAGTTTCAAAATTAACAATTAACAATAAACCTTGCCTCTATGTACTACAAAAAATATCTTTCATAGAATATGTGCTTCAAATGTTTTTGCTGATAAAAGAAGCTATATCTGAATAAATGTTCAGACAAAATTTTCTCAGAATTGATACTGAAACATGTATATCTGAGATACAAAAACTTCTTTTGGGATCCACCTAATACCATTCAGAATTCTGGTTCAAGAAACGCATTACATTCTTGAAAATTTCTCCAAGAAATATCGAATTTCAACAAATTTTCATAGTCATGCCGATAGAGGTTCTTGTTCAGAAATGTGTGATATTTGAAAATGAAGGAGCTAATATTCATACATAACTCTTTTCAGACTTTTGTCTAGGTGATGTTATTACTGATTTTATTTTGAATAATGTATATTCATCTTGTATTCACACCATGAGGTTGTCCTCTTTTCTTATCTTTTTAAAAATTGTATTATGCGATTGTATTGACTCAATAACTATACACTTTTTATTGTCTAATTCGAAATAAAGTATTATTTGTTCTCCATATTTCCACTCATACTTACCACATTTTCCTGAAAACTTGATTATTATGTTCGACTTGGAGATACAGGCTGCTCGTTGCAACTCACATTGATTTCCATAGTCGACACCATCAGAACCACATACGGGACGCGAAGTTGTGTGGTCTCCATAGCTCGGACACTTATCTGGACAGATGCAGCTGGAGTTTCGCCCATCTGAGCTGACCACGCATCGTGACCCGAAGCCACATTGGTTGTCTCGACAGGGATCATTTTGTTCTGGAATAAAAGATGATTGTCAGTACAGTTGATTGGATTGAATTCGTATTGAAGATATAACCACAAAAGAATCAAATACATAATCCGTTTCATATGGTTAACCACCATTGCATATTGATTAAGTATTCAGTCAAATTTATTATATATAAGAGATCATTTTCATCAACAATATCAGAAAATGTAAATGTACTAATATTCCTGAACTGTACAGATAATTAACTTCATCCCAAACGCTAGAATCATCATGTTTACAATGGAAAAATATACAATGAAACGTTGAGAGATTAGTAACTTTATTTCATCTCAGTTTGAAAATTAATCAAGATTCAAAGTTAGGGCAGAAGATTAAAGATTAATTAGATGGAGATACAATTGAAACGAAAGTCAGAGAGCAGTCACACATTGAGACAAAAAATACAATTAGGTATGTGAAAAATACTTGAATAAAATCGAAATGTAAAGATTGAAGACAATTTTGAACAATGTGCATACACATCACAATGATATAATGAAACGCTCCTATCGAATATGGTTCAATGTTATGTAACATATAAAAACAATATTTGTATATAGTTGTCAAATTTATTAGCTGCTCAGTGTGACCCTTTCGCGTTGACCCTCCACTGCAACCCGTGGGTGTTCATTGTGACTCACATCCACTGAAACTCTAGCAGATGAATCCAGCTTCTCAACGAAGCCGCTGACTTTATCTGGCGAGTCGTCTTTCAAGTGAGCTACCAAGCGTAGAATTGCCAGTCACTGGAAACTTGACCTGATATGTGGCGGAGGGGGTTCAAAGTATGTGCTCTGATGTCAGGGCTTAAATTTGCTTGTGGAGGATAATTATCTCCGAAGTTGGCAGATCATGATATATTTCCCCAATTTATGAATGCCTCATCTGCGGTCAGTCTGCGACTTATTTCCTCAGGAATAAACATTCCAAAAAAACGATCTTCTATGGCTGGGAAGTTCGTACTGCACCCACCAGCTTCTTTCGATCCTCTCAGGTGACCTTTAGTCATCCAATACGGAACGTGCGGCTCTGAAATCGTACCCATGGATCATTTAGTTTGCCATCAGGGCTGCCTATACGGCAAACTAAAGAGCTTTCCACTTCAATGACCGCAGCAACCCTCCTATATAAGGGTACCTATGAGTCAGCTATACCTGAGTGTGACCTGTGCTGCTTGAAAAATTTGACGCATGTCAGATTCATAAGATATTCTATCATTGAGAAGGGGATAAGTTGCTACCTAGTCTCCTAGATTCATCCCCAAGATCAAGAGTTGAGTAACTGATATTAAAGTTGACATCAATATCTTCTGTAGACTCGGATTATTTGGTCATACACAGCAGAGCACGACATTACTAGGTTTGCTAAGACGAGAAGGCATGGTATTCCAGTGGTTCCGGTATTCCAGTGGTGGCACTGACTGAGCTAAAAGTCATACATCCTTACGGAATTTTGAATCACTCAACTTCAACCCACTGAGTTGAAATTTTACAAATATCAGCCTATTCACGGAAAAACTCATCAATGATTTCAATTTGATAGTGTTTTTGTATGTTATTTACAATTTTGCTGAAAGCTCGTCACTTCAATAGCTCACAACTATGGTGGAATAAACATATAGCGCGACAAGTTTTTAGTGAAGTATAAAAATCATTTTGTTAAGTAACTGGATGCAATGAAATCACAAAACAAGTCCGATTGGTCTGTTTTGATGTAGAGCTAGTACACCAACGTTTCTGCCGAAGAAACAATTTAAATCATATAGGGAAAGTTACCCGAAGAAGAGGACTTAGCAAATACAACACACAACAGTGTGAAACCTTCCATAATGATTACAATGGAATGCTTCACTGAGTAATAGTGAAGAGGACCGACAATAAGCGGATAACATAAGTATAACGAAAACCAACACATACGGTGCAGTATCTGAATTACGAATCCAAGCAACATCAAATAGCAAAGAGAAAAATCGTCAAGATCCTAATTGATCGTGAATATAGGCTCTGTTACATAAAAGAGAGTCTCAAAAAGAAACTAAGCCACGTCAGGAGAGGTTTCCGGTAGGATGATTACTCCAAAAAGGTGGTAAAATGACTTTGTAGGAAGACATCAAGAGCCTCGCAAGAAAGAAAAGCCATCACAATTGCTGCTATCCTTTCTTTACATCAGAGAATTGTCTAGTGGAATGAGGAGAATTTGGTCAAAATATTACATTCGATCCTGCTGCAAATCCGAAAACACCATTCGTAGTAGCTTCAGCCTTCAGAGAGCGATTTCAAGAACTACATCTACATAATACTATGCATGTCCTATGTTGTTAACACCAAGAAACTGTTGAAAGTCTGCATTGGCGAGAACAAAAAAAATACCCAGCGAGGAGAAACCAGCAAATCGGGAGTAGCGAACTCACAAACAAGACACCAAGTGGTCCAAAGCTGAAATCATCAAAAGGAAGCAACACTGCTTTGAGAGAAAAGTGAAAGAAGCTGCATGCATGTTGAATAACGATGCATTCGGCCAGGCTAGCCGTGGCGATACGCAACATAGGAAAACGTGTAATCAAGCGTGAAGTCGGTTTACGTTGCATTTAATCGAAATCGAGGGGAGGATGGAAAGAATGGTGAGCAGGAAAAGCGCTCAAGTGACCTATAAATTGTCACGAATATCATTATTTATTATTCATTTTCATTTCGGTTTTGCTTATTTCATTCTGTTTCAACTAATTCATCCGAATATTTCTGCTCAGTATTTTTTTACTATTTTCAATGATGTTGCTCTATTATATACACTCTTATAATTTTTTATAACATTTTGATGACAAAGTCTCTCCCATTGAAATAATCCGACCGACCTACATATTTTTATATCTCTTGATGAATTTTCATTGCTACCAATGAGAAGAGTTTAATCAACAAATTATTTCGACTGGTAGTTTACTGTTGTGATTTTTCAAAATATTTTGCTGATCAAAGCCTCCCCATTGAAATATTTCAATGAAACTCCAAATTAATATATCTCCTGATGGATTATCATTGCCACCAACGAGAAAAGTTGAATTGGCCCATTGCAAAAAAGTTCACTTTTGCGATTTCTTATAATATTCCGTGTTTGAAGTGAACTCCATTATTTTCTCGCTTCTGGTATGTTTTTAAATGTAGGGTAGTTCACTCTTATGATTTTTTCATGATAATCTTTCGATTATATCTTTTCTATCGGAATGTTTCCACCAAACTTTTTCTTTCTATTAACAGGTTATTATTGCCACCAATGAGAGAGATTGAATCAACCCTATTCGAGGGTCAGTTTAGTTCAATGATTTTTCATACTAACCAATTGAAATAATTTAGTAAAACTCCAGATTGTAAAAAAAGTTGAACCAAACTCTTCAAAGGAAAGTTTACTGTTGTAATATTTTATAATATTCTACTGACCAAGGCTTTCCTATCAGATTGTTTCCTCCTTCCATGAATTTATCTTTCTTGATACCTTATTATTGCCACCAATGGGTATTAACACCTTCTTTGGACGAAAGAAGACTCCGAACACATAACACTCACCAAGAAACATTGTCAACCACTTTCAAACATTATTTTAGCAAAATCAAAATACAAGCGTGTTAGATATGAAATTCCAATCAATAATAGAGATTTATCATTAGTAAAACAATTCTCTATTTTGAGTAAAACTTACTTTATCCGTTTCAGTACCTCAACTCCTTAGGCTTCAATAAAAGCTTGTTATCGAAAATATTTCTGTTTTTAATATTTTCATAAAAAAATGTTTCACCTGAGATATATCTTTTTGATGTTCGAACATATTGAGACAAATCAACAATAGATGTTGAGTGGAGCTCACCAGTATACATCACTGAAAACCCCACCCAAGTCAGTTCAGCCGTGTTTTAGAATGGCACGCACAAACTCACAGACAAAGAGACATATTTACAAACTTCCTGAAACTCATCGTTTTGGGTCCCATTCCGTTACTGAAGATACTAATAACGTTTTGTCTCAAATATCTTTTATGTACACAAAGCTACATTTTATTACTTGAATAATAATTGATAAAATTTCTACATGGAATTATAAATAAGGAATTCATTCTAACATATATTTTTAAATTCATATTCTATTTCTCACAAAATTATATGCAAATTATTCAAGAAACAATGACTCTTTTGCAATTTTCGCAAAATATATTCAACTCTCGAGTCCCCAAATTTTCATGATTCCATATGATATATGACAGCTATATTCACTAAAAGATACAGATAAGTTTCAGCAGCTTCAGTTTAATAAAACTTCTTCAACAGAAGAAAACATGAAACATCGATTTCATCCAATTAACTGATGAAATAGCATTGCCCGTCCTGTTATTATGTGCACTGGGGCAAATTATGTCTGTAATAGACATATAACTTACCCTTTGGGAAAACATAACAAGCCGTGCTCAGATCTGTGATATGCCTACTGGACAACGATATAAATAAAAGATAATGTATTGGTCCCAGGGTCTGCATATCAAACTGTAAAAAAAAACATCTGATGATGCGTACCATTTTCAGCTGATTCCATTATTGCTATCTCGTAAGTGGTGAGACTCAGAAAGTTGATCAAATCACGCAAAAGGTGATTGAATCACGCACAAGTTGCCTATTTGAGAGAAAAGAAAATATGTTTTCATATCGCGACTATCCATGACCGTTTTCGAGAAATTCACAATAAAACTAAAATTGCCGGATAAGGTTTATTGAGTCCCTTCATTTCAAATAATACAAAATTAGGACAAAAGAATTTGTTAGACTAGTTGGGGCTGTTCAGGAGAGTACATTAGCGATACATATTATAAAACAAAGTATAATATACATCTGTGTGAACGCATACACTCAAAAACCACCATGAAACGGATTTTCATACGGTTTTCACAAATGGACGAAGTGAGTCACTTTGAAGGTTCATGTGTATATGATTCGTGAATGTTTTATTTAAATTGGTTGAAATATATGATTTCATCTGTATACAATCCAGCCAACAGTGCTACACGTGCGAATTTTTATTGAAAACGCTTTCTAATATCTTTGAGATGTAATAACAAAACACTTCACTATGAATTGTTTCTTCTCGAAGATCTATAGAAAAGTTCGCGAGGGCATATGTCAATCTTTCAAGGAAAGCTTTCTATACCCATTTTAATGTTTGAGAATATGGACAAATACGATATAAATATTTATCAAATTGGATCTGTTGATTATCTAACATCATACAATTCATAATAATAGCTCAGGAGATAATGAAAAATTAAACTTTCGTGAGACAAAATGAATTCAGTCGGCCTCATACACCGGATGCGACATGAGCGGAAAGTTTTCTATAACCATTTCAATGTTTAAGAATATGGACGAATATTAGTTACAAGCTGTTGCGACACTTTGAAAAAAGACTGTAGGCATATGTATAGGCTCTGATACCCGTATATACGATTATAACCCAAAGTTTCATCTTCACGTCTGTTCAGCAGTACATTCAAGAAGGTACACATTGGGATATTCGTTCCAGAATCGCCAGTCTATGATGAATTGATAATAGTGATTCAGGATTTGTGGAATAAGGAAAAAAAGAAAATGAGATCGTCTAGATCAATCGGAATGATTTTGAGAAGAACTAACTCACAGAGTTAGGAAAGTTCATCATTTCATCGAAGAACTACAGGGTGGAAATCATGTTGTAGACCAGTTCGTCGGGATAATGAATTCTGTAATAAAATTTCATGGCGTAACAAGAGTAGATTTACAAATGATAGATGATTCAAATGAATTATCCATTATTATCAGCGACTGAAAATTTGAAATAGAGCTATACATTTTCAATAAAAATTTGCAGTTAATGTTCATCTTGGTGATCTGTACAGCAAAGTCATAAGTCATTACATTTTTCAGAAATCTTTGAAGGGGTAATTATAATTGGAATTCTTGTCGTGGATTTCAGATCAGTTGTAGAAAAATTTGCCTCTGTAAATTCAGACATGATCATACCAGATAGGAAATAGTGGACCTATCAAATGGCCAGAACCTTCATCCGACTTCATCCTTTTAGAATTGTCATAGTACAAATTTATTGAAGATACAGTTTTGAGTTCATCTTTTGAAAATATTGAGGAATTGAAACATACAATGAGGAGGACTTGCATGTCGTCAACTCCACAAATGCTAGAAAGTAGCCATGAGAATACTATTTCAAGAGCAAATATGTATTTCAGAAACGATGAACAACAATTTGAACATGGGATATCGTGAGCGACACTGACCTCTTCAGAAACTGTAGTGGAATGCATTATACATATTTTGATGTTAATTCCCTTCTCTTATTGATAAGTTACATTTTTTTATCAAGGATTTTTTCATCGTGCCTCCCTGTGATAGCAATAGGAAATTTAGACAGAAAAGAATTTTCCAGTGACCGGAATTTGATGACATTTATTCGAATAAAAACATCTAAAAATACATGTGTCTTGAATACATGGCGAAATATGTTAATAATTTTAAACAAACTAGGTGTTTGTGAGTGTTACAGGTTCGGGACCCCATTGTTTCAAAAGTGTTAACACATGTCAAATCTATAAGAGAAAATGAAATGAAAATGAACGAAATATTTAAGATATCAATGATGCAAAGAATAACAGAATCGATAATTTCGTTTTAGCGAACTTATCCAAATACTTTTCAACATTGTTGATATTTTCAACATATCATATATATTTTTCATAAATTCAGAATCTGCTAACACTGGATAATAAAGGTGTGTCTGTTGGAAAAATAGTTTATGATGTCATCAAATGAACGATACGTCGCATTGAACATTGGTTCATATCAAATCAGAATAAACATGAAGAAGCGCATGAAATTCCTCTGTATTATTCTCATATTATTAGAAATGAAGGCGATAGGACCAACTAGGAGTTTTAATCCCCCCACCTCAGCTTTTGTCTACTTGAACCGATCTTTTCAGTCTTACCGTTTCCGAGATAGCAATAGTGGAATCACCTAAAAAATGGTCTGTATAGTTTTTTGTGTTCAACTCCGTAGTCAATTTCATACTATAGCAGTTTGAATCGGTTATATTTGAAAAACTAATTAAAGGGAGAGAAGACAAAAAAGATAATCCAGCAGTAGTCGCTTTGTTCTGTTGTTGTATTGTTAGCACAAAACTAAAACCGGGGCTCTGCAACGTTCATGCCTCGGAAAATATAAGATGAGTGAACAGAAGAAATTACGAAGGATCACATTAATGAAATTTGTAATTTTGTGCATAAACAGCAGTTCTGCAGAATGAACAGTGCTTGCGTCTGATTAAATTCAGGTATGCAAAATGATCCAGACACATTTGTCAGGACACGATACTGTACGAAGGACCACGATCGATGACGAGAAAATGCGAACGCGCGAACAGAACACGGGTCTACACGTCACTGAGGTGAACACACGGTGTTTTCCTTCTGAAACATGGTAACTTACACTACAGGTAGCGTGACTGGCACGCGGTAGCAGCGCCATATTGATTTTAATTTTGTAAAACAACAAGAGATTATTATGTCGCAGAGGGAGTCCAGCCTTTCTCTTATATATTACACTGTGCTACAAATTACTGCTGAAGGGTGGTGTCCATATTTTACTCGCGGCTTTGTTACTCAGTAATTATGCATTAATGGGCAATTCAGGTGGTCTGGGATCTGCAGATATGTTCCAGATTAATACTTTGATAAATACTTTTTGCTGGAGAAAAAATATCTTCCCGTATAAGAATCATAACAAAAATAGTTTATGTCTAAATGGGGTTGACAATGTTTCTTGGTGAATGTTACAGGTTTGGAATTCCATTGTCTAAAAAGGGGTAAACATATTTGAAACCTATGAGAAAACAATAATTAAAAAAAATGAATTGAACGGTAATATTTGTATGAGTTTGTTAAACAGGAAGTTAAACCAATAATAAAAAAACACTGATTTATGAAGAAGACAAATCATTGTGAAAGAAAATTAATCAATAAATGGGTTGAACATAAGGTGAAATGTCAATTATTTGCAAACCAAAAATCAAGAAATTCAAAAGTTCCAATAATATAGAGAAAATGCAAAACTGAAAAATAACAAAAAGCCAGACGATTGTTGATATTCACAATCATCTGGCTTATTCCTTTCTCCTCTCTCTTGTATCGGTTTCTGGTTATTTGAGAGAGAGGCCAATGACCCTGGAATCTTCTCTTTTTATTCATTTGGAACATTTTTGTAGGAATAGGCGATAGTTTAATTCAAAAACGCTCAGGAAAACTCAGTTCTGTTGGTAACACTAATAATGAGCTTTGTGATCAAACAATGAGAAATAAATTCCAAATCATTTAAAAATTGATTAAGTGATACTGAAAATAAAATTGAGTAAAAATCTCTACCCCGGAGGTAAATGGTATGATGTTAACGTTAAACCAGATGCGATTACTAAATCAACAATATCGAAATTTTGGTGATGATCTGGAACATTCCAGAGTATTTGAAAGCTTTGCAAAATATTCCAGAACACAACAACAGAACACTCAGAATTGTTCGGACATGTTCTGAAACGTGCGGAAATGTCCTAAATCACCTCATGTCATTCATTCCTGAAGCGTCGCAAAGCCGGGTAACCCAAATCCAAAAAGTAACTAATAACACTGTCTTGGATGAAATTCAGTGAACACAAAAGTTTGTTCACAACCGACAATTTTGATTTTGAAAAATTTGATTATGTAAACAAAAATACGACTTCATCGCATCGGTTCGTCAGGCAACTTGAATTTACTTTCTCGCGGAATGGTTTTGATTCTGCGACTGCTTCTGAGATATTAATTTGAATTATGAGGGCAATCATAATGTGCATGGAATGGTTGAGGTGCCAAAACAAATTCATTTCATATAACTTATTCATTTGATAACTTTTTAGTTAGCACATTATATGTGATCATTATTTCAAACATGCAGCATTTTTTATGAAAGCTCAACACCTCAACTTCTCACGGACAACATCGTCATGATTCAGTAAATTCACATAAAACATTATCAAAATTCAGATATAAACCTTTCTCATGAACCATTCCGACCATTAGTGAAAAGCGTATGAAAATTCGTTTGGTGATTTTTGAGTTTATCACATTCTGACAGATACGGTGGGCGACCTTTTTTATTTATAACGTGTTATAATGGTTCTTCTGCAATATCAGGTTATGTGACAGGTTATGTGGCAAAAAATGTGTGTATCTGTAAGTGAGCTCAGCTCTACTCAGCTCCGTTCAGAGAGATTTTCATGAACACATTAGACAAAAGGTAGATTTTTAAGTGTGCTGTCTATAAAACGGAAACGCAGCCGATATTAGAAACATTTAATTGTTGAGTATTACAGATAACGTGGAATAATGTTGGGGATTTTGCAGGATGGGTATAGACACAAAGTGTATGACACGAATATTTATGTTAGGAGTTTCACATTTGTCCCATTTTATTACATATGTTATTGAAGTTGTGATTGTTTTGGTTTCTGTTTACCAATTTTTCTTTTTGAATACTTAATAAAATCATAACAGAACGTCTGAACGTCTATGAAAAATAGAGATGTATGATGCATTGAAAAATACTGAAAATATCAGAAGAAAAATATTCAGATGAGCAAGTTAAAAAAAATTGAATTCGAACGAATACAACCGCCAATTCGTGAATTAAATGAATAATTCCGACCTGAAATGGAAATGAATTGATAAATGAGTATAACAATGAGTGAAATGGTAATAGTGCAAATAATGAAATTGAAATTGAACAAAAATAATGGGGATGAATGAGAAAATTATAAAAAAATAAAAACGGTAAAGGATGCCAAAACGAGCTTTTTACCATTTTTCAATTACGGTTATGTTTTTGCATCATTTATTCTCATGATTTCATTTCATTATTGTTTATATTTATATATCATAGATATTTCACCTGATATTCAACCCATTCATCAATTTGTTTTCATTCAAGTTCAGCAATTTTTTTTCATTTCATAACCAATGTTTGTATCTTAATTTTTTTCAGAAGGTTGAACTAGTCGTGCCGATGCATTCGTAAAGGCATAATTTCAACCAATGCCCACTTTCTGCACAGTGAGGTGAGGAGAGTGGGCATTCTAATAATCAGAACAACCATCCTAATAGAGTGGTCTGAATAGCATCCGCAGAAGAGAAAATCTCGATATTTTATCCATTTCTTCTTCTCTTTCGTGATAAAATTTGTTCCACCCGTTGCTGAAATATCCACGACGAATGTCTTCTTGTTATGGTATTCCAGAATATTTAGATGAAGGTTATCAGCTTGTATCAGCTTGATAGTGAGGAATGAATAGTGTCAATAAATTTGGCATTCTCTTCAATTGATTCAATACTTCCGGCAACCCAAGTATTTCGTCAATACTGAAAAAGTACCATAGGTGGTGATTAACCACACTCAAGGCCGCGTTATGTCCATCACGCAACTACGGTAGACTGAGGTGTTGAAAACACCCGTATCCAATCAAAATTTTTGCATTCAACATTCTTATCTCTTCTAATTCTGAACTGCAATACTCTGATATGTCATCTAGTTTTCAACTCAATGTATATCAGACGACCTCTCATCATTCAACAAGGTACACAATCTTCTATCTGGAATGATATTAATTGATTCTCAAAACAATATGTGATCTTCAAGTTTGTTAGCTATATCTATCATTCAATATATCACATACCTGAATTCAGAAACAGAAAATAAAAAACAGAAAACAAAACCGGCCATGATGAATCTCTCAGTTTCCGACGTCAGCCCACTCGACCTGACAAAAGCGAAGGACAGGTGCTTTGATGAGCCGAAGTCTTCAATGTTGTTGAAAAAGACCCCATGCATTGGCTTATCCTTGTGTTCCGCAGGAGTTAAGTGATCTGTGCGGCTTTTATATGGACCTTCTGTGAACGGGTTCCAATTCGGCGACAAAGTTGTGATCACCCCGTTCAGTATCAAAAATCAAACCAGTTCACTAGCTGCTCGGGCAGTTGCCCTGAAGAGAAATGCTTCAATTCCTGCACTTTAATGTTAGTGAACCGTTCAGAGAGGGGAATTCAAACTCCTGATGAGTGCACAGGCTCCATCCAGTAATATTCCGTCATGTAGACACTCCAAACTCCAAATTTCACGTGCGTGTACTTTTCCACCACCCTCATGGACTATTGGGTATCCTTCCCTCCAGAGGCATAGGATTCAGGATCATTCCTTTACAACAAATGCGTAACCTTATGCGTCCGGTTTCCGGGATTGACACAGTTATACTCACGACTATTTCTGGGTGCAACGGATTATTGCAATAGTGATATGCAGAAAAAAAGAGGACCGAGTAAATCACCCTGGAATACACCTCTTCCACGATTGACTGACTTTGTTTGGACTCAAGCCTGACCAGATGTTATGTTGAAGCGAGTCCGCCTGGGTATTATCGGTTGCTAAACCGAGTCCGCCAAGGTATTATCAAGAAATCCACCATTTCGTCGGGTACCGCAAGGCATGTGGGCAAATGCAAGATGAGCTTATGCGATATTTCATTAAATGCCTTACGGTAGGTGATCAATCTAGGCCACGCAAAGTTTACTCTTATATACTTTATCGAGTCCTGCGTTACACATCTATGACTGAACTGTTTTCTTCACATCCAGAGACTCATTAATTAGACCTGTGTAATTGATGACTTGTTTAATTTGTGGAAATTCATGATAACTTCCAATTTACCTACAAATTCCTTATATTACCCCGTTTTCAGAATTACAATGTTAGTTTATACTTGATAATGGGGTAAAACCCGAAATCGGCCCTAAAAATAAAATAACTAGAAGAAATTAGACATATTTAGATCATAAATTAGACATAATTAGATCATGTATCCTTTGGTATGCCCGGTGAAATACGGAAAGTATTCGTTTGTATAAAATGCTCGTTAATAACTCATAACAAGCATTTGAGTATTGGTTTGTAATTCCCAGAATTCGATATTATCATATTTTCAAATTTCTTTTTTAATTTTTTTCAGATAACCTATTCAAATATTTCAGTACTGATATTTTCATACCGACTATTTTTTATTCTTGATTTCAAAACCTGTTAACACTTTGACAATAGATATTCGAACTTCTAACATTGAGAATGCAATACGTTATCTGCAATATGTTACACTGCAATATGTTATACTGCAATGTGTTATAAAGCATACTTTATCTTATATGTCATCAAGTGTTCATGTTACCATATAATGAACGATGAATGAAACACATACTGACTGTTTCAATATCATGCAAAGGTCTACTTAGCATTAAATGGAATTCCAAATATTACTCAGATTCAGTACTGTCTGAATATTAACTATTT